GGGGGGCGGGGGAGCCACGAGCTCCAGTCAGCCAAGCTGCCTCCAGTTTGAACCCAGGCCCTCCCAGTCACTACGACCCAGGGCCTACTTCAGCTCTGTCCCCGGTACAGGTGCTCTCCCCACGAGTGGTTTGGAGCATGAAGGGAAGGCACGTGTGGGGTCCATCTTCTAGCTCCTCAGTACGAGCAACCCCTTCCTGCTGGCACAGGATTCTTTGCAGAAGGAAGCCACAGTGTAGGCAAGTTAAGTAACTTCCCCAAAGTCTTTTGTTTCCACCGGCTAAGTGGTGGCTCAAACCCAGGGCTGCCCTTCGCTGGCCATCAGCCATCACACAAGCCCCCACCTCTGCCCTCACCTCTTTCTGGGCCACCTGGAAGGGGATGGCTGTGCGCATGTGCTGCCGAGTGATGCCACTCCAGCGAGTACGGTAGTCCACGATGGGCATCTCCGGCCGGATGTACTTATCGTAGAGGACGTCGCCGTGGTAACTCACCACAGAGCAGCGGGCCAGCTCACTCACCCGCCCGCGGGGCCCCGTGCCCACCATCTCGCAGTCGATAGCCACGCACTTGCTGGGCCGGGGTGCTGTGGATTCCCTGGGCGTGGGCTTTCGGCTGCACGAGGCACCTCCAGATTCATTCCTTGGATGCTGCATCCTGCTGCTGGTGGCTTCGGAGCCCGGCAGTGCCTCCGGCCGTGCGGGCAGTGGGGAGGATCCCGGCCCTGCGGGCGTGCTCAGCAGCCCCTGCACCTGCAGCAAGGCCTTCCGGGCCATGAATCGCTGGTGCTGTCGGCTCCTCGTCTTGTGCTTTCTCCGAAGCACATCCTTGGCATTCAGGCCAGCCAGGGAAGGGCACAGGCGCTGGGCGGACTCAGGGCCTTCCCGGGGTACCATCCCAATAAGCTCACCGCCGGGGTCCAGCGAGGCCCGGGAGGCAACGTGCCAGCGGGGCAGCGCTCTGCAGAAAGAACACAAGGGGCAGAGGGGCTGGGTGAGAACTGGGCCCCTCTGCCGGGCTGCCCTACAGCCCTGTGCTGTCTCAGGCTCCCAGGCCGAGTCGAAGACCTTTACGAATAAGCAATGCACTCAGGTCAACCCCACATGCAAATCACGGTTCTGAGTACTTTCCAGGGAATCACTAAATATTCCCAACAACCTGAACAAGTATTATTATCCTCGTAATCACAGGCAAGAGAACTGAAGCAGAGAGACTAAGTAACCTGCTCAATTAATAAGAGACAAGAACTGATATGGACCCAGGGTCCAAGGTCTCAACTTCCAAGCCATAGCTTACCTCCAGTAAGCATTGGCATCAAAAATTTGTAGAAAGCTAGGAGCGCCCTGGTGGCTCAGTTGGTTCAGCATCTGACTTCAGCTCAGGTCATGATCTCAAGGTTTGCGAGCCTAGCCCTACATCGGGCTCTGCACCGACAGCTCAGAGCCTGGAGCCTGCCCCCGATTCTGTCTCTCCCTCTCTCTCTTTACCCCTCCTCCACCATTCATGCTCTGTCTTAAAAACAAACTTAAAATTTGTTAAGAAAGGTATACTTTTGAGAAAAATAAGGGTTCCAAAAATAGTGTGTGTGTGTGTATAATCCCAGTTGTTTGTTTTGTTTTTTACTGTTTATTTATTTATTTTGAGAGAATGAGAGCATGAGCAGGAGAGGGACAGAGAGAAAGGGAGACAGATAATCCCAAGCAGGTTCAGTGCTGTTAGCACAAAGCCGTTCAACACAGGGCTCGAACCCACAAACTGTGAGATCATGACCTGAACCGAAATCAAAAGTTGGATGCTTAACTGACTGAGCCACCCAAGTGCCCCCAAAATATGGTAATTTATTAAATGACTTTCTACTTCACAAATCACAAGAGCACGCGCAAACATTTTTCAACAGCTGGGCACGTTGTGAGGTCACCATAGGCTGTGGGCAGCAGCGTGATGGTAAACCTGCTCAGCTTACAAAGCGGAAACGGAAAAGGCCCTGAGCAGCAGTGTCTGCAGGTCTCCGGGGCCCCAAGCTCTCCATCACTGAACACCAGAAAGGCCTGCAGTTCACAGGGGGCTGCAAATCCCATGCAACAAGGCCAGCAGCCGCCCAAGAGCGGGGGACCTAGGGGGAACCTAGCTCGGAGAGCTTCACCTCACCTGCTAAGTCAGCTGGTACATTGTTAACAGACCAGAAAACCAGGACTTTCAAGCAGGCAGAGCAGGATTTAACTCCGCTCCGGACGGAGCTCTGCTGAGCTTCAGGCGGCTTGCATGCGAAATGGCCCTACCACCTTTCCTGTTGAAGACACGACACACGTGTGCTGTGATCTGCATACACCGTATACAGTAGGGGCTCAATAACTACCTGCTTCCTTTCCCCCAGAGAGGTTTTACTTGTACGTTTATTTATTTATTTATTTAGAGAGCGTGCGCGCACACGAGAGGGAGAGGGGCAGAGAGACAGGGAGAGAGAATCCCAAGCAGGCCCCGCATTGTCAGCACAGAGCCCGACGCTTGAACTCAAGAAACGGGAGATCATGACCTGAGCCAAATCGAGCGTCAGATGCTTAACCAACCGAGCTACCGAGGTACCTCTCCCCCAGAGAGGTTAAGACTCTTCTCCTGGTTGGTAACGAACTCTTCCAAGGTCAAAGCTGCCTCAGCCTGGACTCACTGCCCATCCCCAGCCACAGGCCTTCCTCTTGCCTCCAGTCCCCCTCACATACGTCCCCTGTCCTGTCTACATCTTTCAGGAAGTCCTGCTGGAGCAGCCCTTCATTCCACTGGGCTGCCTGAGGCTCCCTGGTGTCCCAACCGGGCGCCGAGAAGTTTCATCTCACTGCAGAGACAGGGACAAAGCACAGGGTGTGTGCAGGGCTGGGTCAGAAGTGCCAGGGAAGCAGAACACGCTGAGGATGATTCTGGAAGACTTGCCAGAAGAGATTAAATCTAAGCGAAGGAAAAACAGTAACTCTCGAGGTGACAGGGAGACAAATTAGTGGCCACGTTTGGTGCAAAGGCCTGAAAGGGAAGGAGCCCAGGGTTGGGGAAGGAAGAGGGGCCCGTGAGCAGACGATGCCGCTGGTGGGTAAATCACAGCTGGGGGAACTGTCCCTCCCCACTTTCTACTACTCCACCTCTGTCCCCACTCTGAGAAGGCTATCGTACACTTTGGTGGCCCTACCCTAAGCTGGTGTCCCCAGGCTGATCTCTGCTGATCGACTGAGGGAGTCCAAGAGCACCCAGGGAAGTCACTGAAATACTGCACAGTAGCCCTAAACCCAGACATTTATAGTCTAGCTGGGGAGCAAAGAAAGTCATCCCTCTACTCCTAACAGCACAACCAGAGAAGAGTCTGCTACACTTTCAGGCCGTAGTTACATACGGTCCAGCTCAAAGTGCTTGAAAGGCAGGCACAGAGCCTTGTGTGTCTCCGCTCCTTCCCCATTAGCCAGCCCAGGCCCCAGCATATAGCGGGTCCTCTTCAGAAGTGCGTGAAGGGAGCTGGAGCCGGGCCTGCTATCTGCCAGACCGTGGGGATGCCGGAGCTGGAGGTGACTGGGAACTCAGGGAGCTCCCGGTGTGGCAAGGAGACAGGCAGCCAGACACCCACCAGGGTGGGCTTAGGGATGGGAGAGGTGAACTAAGGACAGGCTGGCCTGGCCAAGGTGACTCACCGGGCCAAGTACTGGACAGACAGAAGCGCTGGGTTAGTGCAGCCTGGCAGTGGAAGCACATTTTGAAGAGTTTCAGGAAAGTCTGCCAGGAGTACAGAAAGGGGAGGGCATCCAGAGAAAATGCAGACACGAAGTCCAGCAGGCAGAGTACATCCACTGTGAGAGGGCAAGGAGGCGGTGCAGCAAGTGAAAAGGAGGTAGGGGGTGAGGAGA